GTCTAATGATTTGGCAATGTAAGATGAATATATTACAATGGTGAATTGGAGAGGTTCTCCTAGATTAATATTGACAATTTGATGCCCTCCTTCCAGATTGCTGCTGGACTGTCACTTCGATAATTTTCTTGTATTGAGCTACCTTGATGAACTTTGCTTCCAAGGCCATAGGCTGCTTGTAGAGTGTCCAACATCCGCAGTTGGTCTTGTATCTGGTCAATACTTGGATAGAATACCTGGGGGTTCCAGTGTGAGTCATGGCTGACTGAAGACATCTCCATAAATAAGTGAGATAATGACCCACTGTGAAGAATGAAAGACTGGCTTTGGAGAGGAAGTCCTTCAATATCTCTCTACAGAAGGAGAGATTGGGAGATCACCCATGAATACTCAGAATCATAGCTTCTCATGAGGAGACTGTAAAACAGCACTAGGAGGTGGGGGAAATGGGAACATATATCTTTGTTCCCAGCCAAACTGACTTTCTAGTCACATGCTCCATTTAATCACTTTATGGACATTAGAGACTTTCAAAACAGTGAGTTTAATTTGATACCTGGTAAGTTTTGCCTTCTTTAGAGTTAAAATTTTTTAAACAGACTAAAGAATCTAAAATAATATACAACTGACAAAAACCATAAACAAAATGATTTAAGAAAGTTTGAAATAGATTTGGAAACCAGGAAGTTTTGGGATATTGATTATTTTTGCTCTAAAACAAGTATATTATAATCTTGAGAAATTACTGAAATGGAACTAAATGCTATCAAAAACTGAGGTTTAAATAAAGGTTGCAAATGAGCACTAGAGGAAACTAAAGGACCAGACAGAAAAGAATTACTAAGCCAGGTATCATTTTTTTCTTGTGCTTAAATATTTTTGAAAACTAGACTGAGATGTTGATAACTTATATCTAAGAAAAGATATAGATTTCAATGGATAAACTATTAAAAGCTGGAGAATTTTTACCTGACATGTACATTATAGAATTTGAGGCATGGAAGACAACAAACTTGAAATTACCAAAATGGAAATACAAAAGACAAATCAAGAAAAACATCTGTACATGGAATGGCTGTGAGAAGAAATCCTTGCCATTTTTTTTTTTTGTGTGGGATTTATAAAGTAGGCTGATGAAAGTGACTCCTTTTAAATACCAAAGAGTGATGAAATATTAAATCCTGCGATGCTACAGGAATGGTTTAAAAGTCAAGATTGTGCAGAGCAAAACGAAGGAATGTAAAGTTGGATTATTTGACCAGAGATAAAGGATTTGTTTTGATATTTCTGGTAACACCTAATGGACTTTTTGCTGAAATAGTTTGCATTAGTTTTTACTACACAAGTAGTCCTCGACTTACAACAGTTCATTTAGTGACTGTTCAAAGTTACAACAGTACTGAAAAAAGTTACTTATGGCCATTTTTCATACTTAACAACCGTGGCTTAACAGTTTCAGCGATTCACTTAACAATTGTGTCAAGAAAAGTCATAAAATGGGGCAAAATTCACTTAACAACTCTCTGGCTTAGTGACATAAATTTTGGGCTCAATTGTGGTCATAAGTTGAGAACTTCCTGTGTTTGTTTAAAACTTTACTTAAATCATTAATTTAATTAATTCAATTAAATTACCCAAACAAAAATAATTGGATGGAGGTTGTCTAGGAAATCCTGGGGTTGTAGAATGGGCTAGGGAGTAAATCCCTGAAGAAGCCACTTGCAAACCAGAATGTTGTGTCCATGCCCTTTACTAGGAGTTGAACTCAACTTGACAGAATCTTTCACTGTGGTAGGGAGGAACTGCAGACTGGGTGGTAATGAGGCAAATATAATGGGATGAAAAATCCCCAAATGTTGTGTGGTTCTTGACTTAGAGGATTACAACATTCTTTCTTACTTTTTATTGCGACTCTCTTGTCAACTACAGATGCATTTCATATTCTTTTTCAGCATGTGATGTTTGCAAACTCTATCTAGTTAAATAACTATATCAAAACAATTCAGATAAATATTACTTACCAAACTAATTCTCAGAAACAGCCAGTTGAAATGAAGAAAAAGTAGCAAGAGTAATCAAATAATTGCTATATACTCTGCATTTGGAATGCTGAGTGCTTCCGCCTACATACCATAAAAGTGGGAGTTAATCAGCTTCAAAAATGAAATAAAACAAACATACTAATCAATACATTCAGTAGCAAAAGTACAAAATAATAAAGAAGCAGCCAGACACTATAAAAATGAAAAGGAATAATTAAGCAAGAGTTTTCTGCATAGATAATAAAATCTCTTTTTACAATATTGAAAAGGGCACCAGCTGAAGAGCATATAAATCTGGCTCCAAACCAACCAAAAAGACAGCAACTGTTTTAGCCTCCTGAAATGGTAGAGATTTATTATTACAAGAGGAAAAAATACAGTATAACCCAAACCCAAATCCATTTCTGAAAGTCAGAAGCTTAGCTTCAGCTCTTAAAGCTTTGCTTTGGATTATTCTTTCTTTGTTTATGGAATCATATTAAAAAGAGATGTAGACCAATAATTTGTGAAAGAATATTCAGTTCTTTGAAGTTTAAATCAGGAAGATCCTACTTCTATATAGAGGCAGCCTTGCTTGCTGGAAATTTCTTGCTTTAACACTAACTTGAAGGGGCAGAGAAATATAATTTCTTGAGATGCTTTGTGCTTTGTTTATTTCTGCTATCTCTGGAAAAGTTGATGGACAAGTCAGAGATGATCAATAATCTTTCCCCAAACCAGTTTTCCTTTCCATAATTCATCTTTTTTCCCCTTAATTCCTCTTCAAATCCAAGATGTACTTACTATCTTAGATGGGTATATGATGTCTGAACAAGTTGGATTATTCCTCATTGCAATATTTAAGAAGAGAAATATTCCAAAATACACAATTGAAGAAGAATAACCGTTATAATTCTATCTGATTACAATATAAAGGAAATCAGTCATGAATGAAATTCCATTTTTGCCCTGGCTGCATCCACCTACTATTTCAAGGAAATATACCCATAGAATACCACGTAGAGGCCTTTGAATCTCTTGGCTTGGGAACAAATGTGTAAGTTTTTGGCACAGTAGGATATACAAAACCCCTGTTTGGATTTAACATTCTGCTGCAAAGTAAGCCACTTAATGGCTTGTTCAATAAATCATAAGTTAAAAAAAAACAACACCCTGGCTTAGCATTCTGTGCAAATTCGCCCAATGAATAAACCAACTGTGCTAATCCTATCTTGCAACTTTTGATGTAATCTATTTTACAACATTTGTACTTCTCCCTGCTGAGATATTTCATGTCTTAGGGCCCTGGGAAATGCGGTTGCGGATGGTGAAATTCGCTTGCCTTTTTCTAAGGGTGTCTTGTTCCTTGAAGGCGGGGTGGGCCAGCGTTATCGAGAGAGAAAAAGAGAGCCACCTGTGCATAAAATCTCATGTTGTTACAAGCACATGTGAAGCTCAGTGTTAGGTTCCAAAAATCAAGAGAGGCTCGTTGTGCTTCTTCCTACCAAATATCTTTACTGTTCCTTGCCTATAGACAGAATCTTGCCAAACTAAAGCATGCTAACATCCCCATAAAGCATATATTAAGGGAACTACTAAGAAGAGCCATCTTCACCCTCTTTCTCTCACACAAACTATCAGAACTGAGTTGTCTCTTGCTTCTCTATAATGCACACCCACCCTCCCTCTTGAGAATCCTGACAACATTCCATCACACACAAGTGAGAATCTCATTTGGAAAGGTCAAAAGGAAGAAATATATGATGTTACTACTGTTACGTTGTTAGTTGCTGAAGTGCTGTGGACTGGTGCCACTGGGGTTGGGGCAGTGGTGGGATTCAAATAATTTAACAACCGGTTCCCTGCCCTAATGATTTCTTCCAACAACCAGTTCACCAAACTGCTCAGAAAGTTAACAACCGGTTCTCCTGAAGTGGTGTGAACTGGCAGAATCCCACCACTAGGGTTGGGGATCCCTGCCTTAGAGAATAAGTCAACCCCCTCTTCTTTGTGATAGATCCTGAAGTACTGGAAGACAGCTGAGCAACTTTTCGGTAAAATCCCTGGCAAATTTGTCATGACGATGAATATAGGAAGCCCGAAGGCTTCATTGAATCTCTTGGAATTAAAACACACAATACAGCAAGAATAATATAATCTAATAATTATTATGAGAAGAGGCAGGCCAACTTGAGAAATATTGCTGCCTCGAGCAAAGTTACAAAGGGTGTTCCTACTTCCTCCCCACGTCAAGGATGGATTTTTAAGGCTGGATTTTTTTGTTTTTGCACTTGATGCAGAAAAGCATACCAGATTCCTTGGTGACAGTTAAAAATGTAATTATGATATATTAAGGTACTAATGATTTATTTTTCATTAAATACAGTGGTGTATCTTGTTTCATGACACAGAAAATCTGCTAAGCTAGATAGCCAATTCATGCTGTTTTACAAGCTGGGATAGAGATACGGGAGGGCTTCAGGTTGGAGGCTGGATCTTCAAGGACTGAAGCTTGCAAGGCCAGAATCATTATCAAAACACATTGAGATGCCTTCTGTGTTAAGAATAAGAAGTGAGACACCAGAATCCCATATTCCTATAAAGGCTGGATAAAATAGTGTAAGGTATAAATCCTGGCTTTGTTATATGCTAGATTCCTGAATTTTGAAGTAGGTTTGAAGGAACTTGTTTAAAGAACCATAGGGCTGGAAGGGACCTTGGAGTCAACCCCATGCTCAAGGCAGGAGACCTTATTCCATCCTGGTCAAATGGTTGTCCAGTCTACTTTTGAAAACTTCTAGGGATGGAGGTCTTTACCTGCTTCTTTTACAGCTACATCTGAATCTTGTCTTCAGCTCTTCTATTGACCCTCAAGTATTGGTTGAGTTTCTAGACAGAGATTTGCTGCTCTGCGCTGGGTGGAGCCCTGGTGAGATCTTTACTAAACTCTTGATTTTTGCACATGTTTTCTTCTTGCAGGCCATCCGATGCACTCTGGTAAATTGTTGCTGCCAGTGTTTTAAGACTGGAAAAATAAACCAACGGCAGTGTGACCAGTGTCGGCATGGATGGGTAGCTCATGGTAGGTAGTATATTACGATGCACTGAAATTCTTTGCAATGGGTTTGATGTGTTTGTGAGAAAGCTTCATTTGTGGTGTTAATTTAAAGTCAACTCAATTAGATCTACAAACCGGTTGTCTGAAGCAAATTAGCCGGTCTGTTTGAATAATTGAGCAGTACAATTGATCCTTCGGAATGAGTTTTGCCTCTTAAGCATGTACAGGTTTTTTTTTTTCTAAACTTATTTAAAAATCTGAACTGGATAACTTCAATGTGAAAACTGGATTAAGATGACTGAATGGAGTCAGATCTAGTTTCCATATCAAATCAAATTTTGATTTAATTTGTACACCTCTGATTTGTACTACCTCTATTGTCCAGCTGTCAGCTAGTTGTACAATTAGATAAATATATAAATCTAGTCCTCATTTTTACATGCCAAAGCTGATGATAAGAATAAGAAATAAAAACCTGGAACATTTCTTATATGTAATTTGTTTTGGTGTTGTTTCATTTGAGGAAAAAATGCTATATGGTATTAATCTGCTTTGCAAATCAACATGTGCTGAATTAACTCTTACAAGTGAAACTGTGGGTTTGAATTGGAAAAGAGACGATTGGTCTAAGACTTCTGTCTCCCAAACATTCCAAATTTTCACTTCTGATTGATTTTTTTTTAAAAAAAACTATCAGTTTTTTTGGGGGGGTTACATGCAAACCTACCTGACTTAAATCCTGTAGGTTTCTACATATTTCTATGTATATTTCCATCCAGGTCGGTAAAATGAGGACCCAGATTGTTGGGGACAATATGCTGACTCTTTAAACCAATTAGAGAGGGCTGTAAAAGCACTGTGAAGCGGTATATAAATCCATGTGCTATTGCTAAATTCTAAAGATTATAGCACCTGATTTATTGCAAGGATGAGCAATCTGTGGACCCAGATGTCACTGTACTATATCTGTTTCCCTTGTCATTAGCCATTTCCTGGAGTTGCTGGGAGTTTTTATTTTTGCAATAGAGGAAGACCAAATCACTTGCTTATTGATCAGATGTTTCTAATTTGTCAGGCCATAAAGAATGATGTTGGAATGGCTGTTAAAGCATTAATTACTGAACGATCAGATGGATAACAATTCCTAGTTGCTGAGCCGCTATTGCTCATGTGGGTTGTTTTGTACCCAGTTATTCATAGGTGCCTTCATTTTCTTTTCATTGTTTCAGCTTTAAGTAAACTAAGGATCCCAAACCTATATCCAACCAGCCAAGTGGAAATAGTCCAATCCAATTTAGTCTTTGATATAAGTAGCCTCATGCTGTATGGAACTCAGGCCGTTCCTGTCCGTCTCAAAATCCTCCTAGATCGTCTTTTCAGTGTCTTGAAGCAAGAAGAGGTCATACACATCCTCCATGCTCTGGATTGGACCCTTCAGGACTACATACGGGGTTATGTTTTACAGGTAAGCGTCAAATTCATGGTTCTTCCTAACAGACAAAAAGGGCAGATAGAAAGGGAGGAAGCATGGAGCCATTGGAGTCTATATATATAAAAGCGCATCACAAAATCTCCAGAACCGTAGAGCCTACAAACTTGAAATTTGGCACGTATGTTCCTCTTGGCTTCTAGGTGCTCACTAAGAAATGATTTTTCAAAATGACCATCAGAGCTTTAGTATTTCGTATATTATTATTAACACGCTCTGATGCTAAGGAGTTCTGCTCCCCCTCCCCACCTGAAAAGAATTCTGTTCCAAATGCAAAACACAAGGAGAGGAGAGGAGTTTCAGTTTCAATTTCAGAGCATCAAGCAGCTTTAGTACAGAACAGTTGAGCTAAGCCACTCCCAGGCTCCTTGCTGTCTCCTTGCTCACACAGTAAATACTGTTTTGGTTTCCAAACAGCCCTCAACTCTCTCACGCACTGACAGGACACTAGCCAGATGAATATATATAGAGTGTCTGTAGAGATTCTCAGTCATCCAGGTCATAGTTGTTCCACATGTGCTTTTTTTCAGGAGGCAATAGGACTTTCTTGTTTTTCTTTGAAGACATTTCGCTTCTCATCCAAGAAGCTTCTTCAGCTCTGACAAGATGGGAGGATTTATATTCCTTGCAAACAGCTGGTCATTTGCATTCTCTTTAGAGAATCATTGAGGCCACTTGGAGGTTTATCTGCATCTTCAGGGTCACTTGAGTGGTGCTAATGGTTCCTGTAGTCTGCTTTTTTTTCTCCTGAAAATCCCTTCCTACTCCCATGAACAACCTTTAAATGGTGTGGGAATATGAAGGGATTTCCAGAAAAAAATGCAGACTACAGAAACCATGAGCACTACTCAGGTGACCCTGAAGACACAGATAAACCTCCAAGTGCTTCAACAACCCTGAAAAAGGATGCAAATGACCAGCTGTCTGCAAGGAATATAAATCCTTCCATTCCTTCACCATCCAGTCATTGCTGAAGAAGCTTCTTAGATGAGAAGAGAAACGTCTTCAAAGAAAAAACAAGAAAGTCCAGTTGCCTCCTGAAAAAAGCACCTTTGGGATACATGTATACGATTGGCGCAAGGAGTTAATGGAGCTACAGATGATGTGTATTCTGCGAGGTAATGGGGTGAAAACGATGTTTCCAATATTTGACTTTTTTCATTGAAAACCAGTGTCTCCATTTTTGGCAAAAACAACACCCCATAGCGAACAATGGCTTCGCTTAACGACTGCCATTAATAAGATCATAAAATTGGATCGTCACATGGGTGACTGCTTTGTGACCGTCTTGACTTACAACCTTGCGCTGGTGATTTTTCTCTTCCTTTACAGATGTTCTGTTGCAAAGTTTTAGCACTTTTGCTTGCTGAACTGGTGCAGAGTCCGTGAATATTCTTTGAGGGCATCAGAGCCACAATAACCAAGGATGGCAAAGGCTTCATGACCAAATGTCATTCACTGCCTAATTACCGATCCAAGTGGCACCCTCTTAGGTTTGACCTGCATCAAGGATAGACATCCACTCCACACAATACCCATTGCCCACCTCTCCGCTCCTTGTGCTTCCTTCCTCTAATGTAAAGTATGATTTACATTATGTCCCCAATAAATATTTAATGCCATTGATAATCTTGCTTTTTAGTGTTAAGATGAAGAAAAAAAAAACAGGCTCAATTACCTTGAACCTCTTTTGCATGAAAAATTGATGACGATGCGTTCGTCTTAGAAAACCTCTTGCGTGCCCAGTGAAATTTCTCAGTAGGCTATCAAATACATGTTCTGTCATAAAATATTTATTGTAGTTATTGGGGAAAGTTTGGTAGAGGTTGGAGTTTGAAAGAACTCCAACACTCTAGTGTAATTACAGCTGTGCTCTGTGAACCAAAGAAGGATCGATTCAGGTTCATTTGTTGTCTGATCTTAGCACAGAATATGATTAAAATTGCAGAGAAAGAATACTCAACTTAGAAGTGGAGGCTAAATCTACTTTTGGTTGCTCCAGTCTGTTGCTTTGTACTTGGGTTTTGTTCCACCGGCACATATCCTAACATTATTGGGATTATCGCAAAACACTTTCCAATCATCTGTTAGAGTGTCTTTTAGAAAGAACTGAAGGTGATTGAAAACCAAGAATAGCAGGGCTGTAAAGGTGTGCTGGCAACCTGTCCACAGGTATATCAATTATGTGGATTTCGCTAGGCAGAAGTCCTGATGTCTCAAAAAGCTGAGGTCAGCAACTAGCAGAGGCCAAATTGCTCCTAAGACAGGGTGCTTTTTTTGATCGGGCCTGGCTGGTAGCATTTTCTTCCTTTCCTGCTGGATTTCTTGAAACAGCTTGAGTGGAACAAATCTATATACAAAGAAAGGCTTCCAAAGCACTTTGCAACTTGATTTAAAAAAAAAAAAAGTCATGATTGAAAAGGAAAAGGAAGCAGAAAAAAGAAAGAAGAGCAAAATGTAATTTCCACATTTTGGGGGGCGCATTTTAAAGTCCCCATCTTGCCATTTTGATCCCAGCCCGAGGATTTTCAGAGCCCTGGTGGTGCAGTGGTTAGAATGCAATATTGCAGGCTAACCCTGCTGACTGCCGGCAGTTTGACAGTTCGATTCAAGATTGACTCAGCCTTCCATCCTTCCAAAGTTGGTAAAATGAGGATCCAGATTGTTGGGGGCAATATGCTGACTCTGTAAACCGCTTAGAGAGGGCTGTAAAGCACTGTGAAGCAGTATATAGGTCTAAGTTGCTATTGCTATTTAAGTTTCCCATTGAAAGAAGAGAAAAGGTCTCCCAATTTTAAATACTGTAGAGATTCTCACTCATCCAGGTCATGGTTGTCCCAAAAGTGCTTCTTCAGGAAGGCAACTGGACTTTCTTGTTTTTCTTTGAAGATGTTTAACTTCTTATCCAAGAAGCTTCTTCAGCTTTGATTGGATGGTGCGGAATGGAAGGATTTATATTCCTTGCAGACAGCTGGTCATTTGCATCCTTTTAGAGGGTTGTTGAAGCACTCCCAATTATTTCTCATGATCTCCCAATTTGTCTCCACTTCTCTTTCTGCTGTACTCTGAGAAACAGATATTTTGGACAGCAAGTAGACCAGATAAATGAAGAAGAGCAGCTTGCATATAAGACCAACATCTAGACTCTCTCCTCTTTTACAGGGCAGTGGAGAGTGCTTTACTTGTTAGAAACTAAACAGAACATTTCTCCCTTCAGTCACCCTGGAGTCAACCCAATTCAATGAACTAATCTTCTTTTCTTTTGAGGCTGGTATGTTGCCCTTTCAAGTGTATTGTTACTATTATTTGTCTTTCTGAAGGATGCGTCAGGAAAGGTCCTGGATCACTGGAGTATCATGACCAGCGAAGAAGAGCTGGCTACCTTGCAGCAATTTCTACGTTTTGGGGAAACCAAGTCCATTGTGGAGCTGATGGCCATTCAGGAGAAAGAAGGGCAATCCATTACTGTCCCAACAACCACAGCCAGTATGGATATTAGAGCCTTCATCGAAAGCTGCAATCAGAGAAACTCAAACCTTTCTGCTTCTTTAGACAAAATGCACCCCATCCACGTCCATCACTTCGAAAATGTGGTCAATAACATGGCGTTTATGCTGCCCTTTCAGTTTTATAGCCCCGTTCCTCCACCTCTGATTGGTTCGCTCCCGGAGAGGCTCTTGATGGAGTCCTCTCAAAATCACAGCCCTGACTTAAAACAAGACGACTACGTGCCGTTTGCTGAAAACAGTTTCTTAACTTCCAACCCATCATTTCAACCAGAAAAGGAGAAGGGAGTCATCAGCCCAGACCTCACTTTGAAACCGAAAGAGGACGTGTCACCAAGTGGTTTGAAAACTCAGACCGTGTCCTCCAAGCTGGAAGCAAGCCAGGTATCTCAAGAAACTAAGATGAAGTCAATGGACAGAAATGGTTCCGGAATAAGGAAAGGGCGTGTTTTCTGTACGGCCTGTGAGAAGACCTTTTATGATAAGGGCACTCTGAAGATCCACTACAATGCTGTCCATCTGAAAATCAAGCATAAATGCACCATTGAAGGCTGCAACATGGTGTTCAGCTCGTTGAGGAGCCGAAACCGTCACAGTGCCAACCCCAACCCAAGACTTCACATGCCCATGAACCGAAACAACCGGGATAAAGATCTCCGCAATGGGTTGTCCATCCGAGGTCTGGAGGAGAACAGATCACAGATCTGCCACATGCCTCCTGATCACAGATCAGTTCCTATCTATGGGAGTTCTGGTATCGATGCCAAAATCCAACCAGGTTTTCACCATAGCGGACACAACGGTGTCCTCTTCCCCAACTTGAAGACAGTGCAACCAGTGCTTCCTTTCAACCGCAGCCCGGTTACCCCAGCCGAAATAGCAAACACACCAGGTACACTTCCTTCTCTACCTCTGGTTTCCTCGTCCGTACCTGAACCGCAGGGGTCCAGTGAGTTGCCCTTTGACCCATTGCCTAAGAAAAAATCCCGTAAGTCTAGCATGCCGATCAAGATAGAGGCAGAAGATGTCGACGCCACTAGCCCAGCTAATGAAGTGGCCGGTTCAGAAGATGATGGGACTCCAAAGGCGGTAAGTGAAGGGCCTGTGGAGATGGGGGTGTCTAGGATAGGAAAAAATACCAATCATCTCATGGAAAAGCAATCTCACTCAGAGGCGTTGGGGACGCCCGTTTCCAAGGTTGGAGGGCTCAAAACTGTGCAGGCTGTAGAGACAGATAACCAGTGCACCACAATGGACAAACTGCATAAGCCAGACCAAGACAAATCGCTAAGAATAGCCTCTTGTGAACATGCACCCAATGAACACCACAATGTGACCAAAGCAGCATCTGAGCCCTATAACAGCTACCTTAGAGAACCGTTGAATTACAGGATCCCAATGAACAACTGGCCCGAACTGCATTACCACTTGCTGAGTGGAAGCGGTTTCAGCACGCTATCCAACCGGAGTGTGGCTTTTCCTGAGTTTGAAGCGTGTAAAGAGATGGACCACGGCTCTCCACAGGCGCTGGGCCTTCCACAGGAGGATGCCCGCTTTCGTTGCGACATCTGCCTGAAGACCTTTAAAAACCCTTACAGCGTAAAAATGCATTTTAAAAACGTGCATCTAAAAGAAATGCACGCTTGCGTTGTGGAGGGTTGCAATGCCGCATTTCCCTCACGTAGAAGCCGAGACAGGTAAGGATGGATTTGGGCAAAATCACTGTGTACCCCTTTGTGTTTAAAATAAATGGGTGCACACAAGAGGGCTTCTTTTATGTTTTTGGGGAGGGATGCAACAATCTGTCACGCCTGCTTTACTGGCCCATTGCGCTCTTTTGTCAGAACGGTATTAAAACGAAAATCCATTGCACTAAACTCTGCTTTTCAGAAGGTGAAGAGGAGATCTTATAGCTGGTAGATGATGAGAATGGAAAAGAAATCAATTTTTAAGACAGATTAAGTGGGTTAAGTACTGCTTCATATTCCACCTTTTTTTAAAAATAAAAATTATTGGGAACCAATTTTTTATGGGGGTTGTTTTTTTCCTTCCTATCCATGTTATAAAGTAAGGCTGAATAATAATGTCTTTCTAGAAATCACAGTAGAAGATCCCTTCTCTTCACTAGACTAAAAATAATAAAAGTAAAGGTTCCCCTGCACATATGTGCTAGTCGTTTCCAGCTCTAGGGGGCAGTGCTCATCTCCATTACAAAGCTGAAGAGCCAGCGCTGTCTGAAGACATCTCTTTGGTCATGTGGCTGGCATGACTAAACACCAAAGGCGCATGGGACACTGCTACCTTCCCACCAAAGTGGTCCCTGTTTTTCTACTTGTATTTTTTACATGCTTTTGAACTGCTAGGTTGCCAGAAGCTGGGACAAGTAACGGGAGCTCACCTTGTTATGCAGCGCTAGGGATTCGAACCTCCGAACTGCTGACCTTTCTGATCGACAAGCTCAGCGTCTTAGCCACTGAGCCACCGCATTCCTTTTCACTAGACTAGCCATGCCCAGTTCCTGCAACTGTTCTTCATATGTTTTAGCCTCCAGTGCCATTTAATATTTAACAACTTTTTAACTCAGAGGTGGCATTCAGCAGGTTCTGACCAGTTCTAGAGAACCGGTAGCAAAAAATTTGAGTAGTTTGGAGAACCAGCAAATACCGTCTCTGACTGGCCCCGCCAACCCCATCTATTCTCTGCCTCCCAAGTTCCAGTTGATTGGTTGGGTCTTCTTTGGTTGCCCTGCACAGGAGAACAGAACTGGAAAGCAGGTTAGTGGGGTGGGGAGGGAATAGGATTTTGCAGTAAACTTCCCCTGCAATGCCCACCAAGTCACGCCCACCAAGCCACATTCACAGAACCGGTAGTAAAAAAATTTGAATTCCATCACTGCTTTGTTATTTCCCGCCCCCCCTCAAACAGGAAGTTTCCCTGTTCCTCTGTTTTTTACTCTAGATATTTTTCTTTTTTCCTCCAGGCACAGCTCCAATTTAAACCTTCACCATAAACTTTTAACGAAAGATCCTTTGGACATCAACAAGAACCATTTCAACACCATCAATCTCTTGAAGGACATGGCCAAAGACGTTTGCCCAGAAGCCTGCTTGAAAGGACATCTGGAGCAACACACCTCGGTCATTTTCAAAAGCACCAACCGGACTGGCAGCTTGGTTTTCCCAATGAGCACGATCGCACAAGCCTGTCCCAAGAGCTGCAGGCATGACCCCGTTGAGGGAGCCGTTCTGGATCTGAGCACCACGTCTAATGTTAAATCCGAGAGCGGAACTCACTCCTCTTGGGATTCGGACGGAAGCAGCGAAGAAAGCCCTTTGGAGGACAGCAACGAAAGCTGTGAAAGTATTTGCTGGACGCCCAATGAAGAGCTTTACCGAGACTGTTGCCCGGCAGAGGCCCCTAACCCGAATTTCCCAACTGCACCTTCCGGCTTGCCGATCACCTGTCACCTCTGCCAAAAAAGCTACAGTAATAAAGGGACGTTCCGAGCCCATTACAAAACCGTGCACCTCCGTCAGCTGCACAAATGCAAAATCCCAGGCTGCGATACCATGTTTTCTTCTGTTCGCAGCAGGAACCGACATAGCCAAAATCCCAATTTACACAAGAGCTTAAGCAGGTCATCCTACAGCCCCCTGTAACAGCTCAGTATTTCAGAGTATTTCAGTGGCTGTTGTGTTCTATTTATCATTTCAGCTTCTCCTTCTTCTTCCCCACCCCCCACCCCCTTATTAAGTATTAGAAAGAGGCACAATTTCATTTACTTTTCCTTACACCCTGTTCAAAATACGAGGTGCGATTCCACTCTCGTTCCCATGCACCCAGCCAATGGGTTAGGTTTTTCCTACTGTAAACATTAAACATTGACGCCAACGTAATAGATGCAAAGCTGGCCCAGAAAATGATATCCCTTGAGTCAGATTTTTTTTTCCTCTTCACTCTTCTCTTCTGTTATAAGGCAAAGTCCAGCTTGTGACACCAATGTTTTGCATTTTGACATCCAGATAACCATTATCAGAACCAGTCCTGTCCTTGTTTTAATGTGTAGCTCCTCCCTTCAGTTGACCTGACAGTATTAAATTCATGTGGCGGTTTCCCCATAACTTATTATTGTATGCCTTGGGAACAGATAGGTGGTAGATTTAAGAAAAACTGTAGCATTTGATTCTGGAGTTCTTGGGGACAGTAGAAATTCGGTTTGAAGACCCATTGTTGGGTGGTGTTCTGCTCCGTGGCTTGAATACTGTTCTCAGCACATTTGAAAACAGGAGAATTCCACAGGTTTCCTTCTCTCTCTGAAGAACAGAGTTGGCTTCAAGATGGACCTATGAACTGCCAGATGCTAAAGCCACTCAGCAGTTCTTGGGTGTCTCTTGAAACTTACTTCCAAGCAACCCCGTATTTTCCTTTGCAAGGAAACCAACAATGCAAGTTCTATTTTTTTAAAAAAAATTGGATAGACTTTCCATTGACTTTTGAGAGGGTTGCATGAATTATATACAGGACTAGCGAAACCTGAGATGCATTTGAACATTTTGAACCACAAGTAGGACATTTTGAAATGCAATCGATAGTTTTACTGCACTTTTTTTATTGCTACGTTGAGAAAAATTAAATCCTAGGGGGAAAAATGTATTCCACATTTTCCAAAATTTGGCAGGAAGTGACGCAAAAGAGGGAAGATCGATGAATATGAAATCTGCCTATTGTGTTGATGTACAATGGTGAGCTGGGCAGAAGACCGATATTTTATTACAACTTTAATAAGAATTGTCCACTGACTTTGATGATGTTTCTGTTTTGTATTAGCACATTATTTAGTTTAAATGAATAATATTCCGCATCCTGGTCATTATGCATATCAGTATGGTGTTATGTCTTATGCACTTAATGACATTGGAATTGGTCTTACATTTTATTTAAAGAACATTTTCGTTCCAGGTGATTGCATTACTGTGGTTATGGATGCCACGTGCAAATATGTTTGGTGAAATAACTATGAGCAGTGAAAGCAATTCAACAATTTTTTTTAATCACTAAACCTTTGAATGATATATATTGATATCATAGGTTGATCCATTGTATTCAGCAAGCATGAAGCCAAAGGCACATTAATTAACTATATATATAAAATACCAAAATGATTAAAAAAAAATTTATTTGTTTGTTTCTTTGACATGGGATCTCTCTCCTCCTTCCAGTTGGCTACATTTGAAAGTCTTGTAATTTGTTGTTGCTGTTGTGTAATGTCTGAATAATATTAAGTTAAACAAAAATAGTTTTTTTACACTGCATTTAAGATAAACAAGGCAAGCTATATATCTTGGATACTCAGTGATTAATTTATTCTAAGCCAGAGAATGAGTACTATCCCATAAAACCCAGTTGCACTAAGTTGCATTATTGTTACTCTGAGGTGTAAAGGTTGCAGATCCTTATTATTGCTAGAGTCTTAAGATATTTTTTTAAAAGCTAATCAACAGTTAGATTGAGTGGGGGCTCCAGATTCATAAGGGAGGGGACCATTTATATCACCAGCTGAGCTATTTCCAAAGAAATCATCAGTTATAAACTGACTCCTTCAAACCAAATTGGATTTGTGCACTGATTCCAAAATGGGATTTTGAAGACTAGATAAGAGAGAACAAAGGTTTAGAGCAGGGATGTCCAACCTTGGTAAATTTAGAATCTCTTCTCCTCTCTTCTCCTCTCCTCCTCCCCTCCCCTCCCCTGCTCTACTCTACTCTACTCTACTCTACTCTACTCTACTCTACTCTACTCTACTCTATTCAAGACTTATGGACTTCAACTCCCAGAACTACCTGGGCTGGTTAGGGAATTCTGGGAATTGAAGTCCATAAGTCTTAAAGTGGCAACCCCTACTTTATCATGTAGACCCAATATGTTTAAATCCAAAGACTGTTTTGTGTGTTTTGGATGGAAATTCATCCATGACTTGGAAGATCATAATGCTGTAGCAGCATTGATATTTATATGAAGGTTGAATGGAATGAGTTAGCAGAAGACAAGAGGGAAGACCTGTGACTTGCAATAGGGTTAATAAAGTTGGCAAGTCTCTTTCCCATTCCTGCATTTTTTGTTATAAATAAGAACATATTTTTAAAAGGAGCAGATGCTGAATACTGTGGATTCTTTAGCATTTCAGACTTTCTCCTCCTGCAGGAGAACAAAAGGAGGTCTCAGAAGTTACTCAGGAAAGCTCATCCTGTTCATAAACTTTGACAGCATTACTAAAAAGTGGTGTGGAGATGTAATAAACCAGTCTGAATAGAACGGGCCAGATTGATGCCATTCCTATGTTTAAATATGCCAAGCTATGCCCAGGTGTTTCATCAATGCTCACAGACTAAATAAAGCAAACCCAGATAACACTTGTAAATAGGGTGTAGCTGTGCCATACACCAAGTGTACCTAAAAAAAAATATCTCAGGGAAACAGCTCATTGTCGAGAGGAAGATAATCCACACACGCAAAACTATTGGCAATTCTCAACCTCTGAAAAGGGGATTTGGGGTGATCCTTTTGTGGAGAAATGTTGCTTTAGCAGATACTCAACACAACAGCCCTAGGGAATTACAGATCTAAGAAAACAGAGTAAGTTGAGTGTAACTACATACTCAAAGCGTAGTTTTGAGTTTGTCCATAGCACTGAAAAAGATGGACAGCTTCAACCTGCATTGTTCTCCTAGGTTGTTGGTGGGACAAATGGGATCAAAATCACCCAGAGAAAAAACTAGGAACAGGATCAATCTGAATAATTAAACATTCTGTTTAGTTTTGTTGTATACAAACATAGGTATTCATTTCAGGGTTGGATTCCCTTTTTCAGGGTATGACTTTTGGTTGGAAGACAAGTTAGGGCAATCTAATCCCATATGGTTTCATGATTAAAAGTAAAACTTTCTCCTTTATTCCAGCCTTACTGAATCACACACTCTAAAGAGGATTGGGACCTCAACTCCCATGCTGCAACTTCTAATGGCCATATTGCACTAATATGTACACCATCCAACTGAGGTCAAGGTAGCTAGACATAGAATTCAAGCCCACCATATCTTTTTCCATAGATTTCAAGTCTGCTTTTTAATTTCCCTTGTTGTTGATGTTGTTGTAAACGTGCTTACTTTTTTTTAATGCAATGAAAGAAATGAGTGTTGTAAGTGAAAATTGTACTGCTCCCATCTTACATTTTCTTACTATTCTGCCAAAGTAATGCTGTTTTGTATTTCTCCAGAAATTTTATGTGTTAATAAAAATGTATAACACTGTCTCTCAGTTGATCCTAGCCAGACTCGAGCCACATTGCAAATAGAAGTGAGGGACATGGGTGAATATTGTTCACAAAGTGGTCCACATGTTGGGAGATAATATCAAGAAGGTCCTTTCTATTTATATATTTATTTTATTTTATTTGGTTTATCAATTGCTTACAAGATAATACGTATAAGTAAAAACATAGTTATGAATACATGGATACATTTAAGAAAAATAAAAGAAAGAATAGGACAGGGACGGTAGGCACATTGGTGCGCTTATGCACGCCCCCTACAGACCTCTTAGGAAAGGGGTGAGGTCAATAGTAGACAGTCTAAGGTTAAAGTTTTTGGGGTTTGGGGAAGAAACCACAGAGTCAGGTAGAGTATTCCAGACATTGACCACTCTGTTGCTGAAGTTGTATTTCCTGCAATCAACTTTGGTGCGATTAACCTTGAGTTTGTATCTATTGTTTGCTCTTGTGTTGTTATGGTTGAAGCTGAAGTATTTTCTAATAGGTGGCCTCTGCATCTTAGTGAGTGAGAAAAAGAACAGAATGGCTTATCAAATTAGTATCTAGGAACCTCCAAACTTGGCAACTTGGGGACTTCCAACTCCCAGAATTTTGATAGTACTGCTGAGGAATTCTGGGATTTCAAGTCCACGAGTTCTCAACTTTGTAGATCCCTGATCTAGAGAGCCAAGTAAAATGGAATAGAAAGAGGTAATCCTTTGGTTTAAAGCTAGTAAGATCTTTAGGTGTTTAGCATTTAGAAAGTGCCTTCAAAAGTGTTTTTTTTTTAATAGAATTGAACCTAAAAGAGAATTGAATAGTTCCAAAAGTGAAGAATTGAATTGTTCCAATAGTGTCTTCAAACAGAATTGAACCTAAACACCAGAAGATTGCTTTTTAGTTTCAATTCTATTTGAGGACGCTTTTGGAACATCCAATCCCAGTTAACAAACAAGCAGGAACTATATTCTGAGGTAATGGAAATTTCTGAAGCATCTTCAAAGGACATTGAAGAAACCATCTGGAGGTTACCAGATGACGGAGAAGTAGGGCCAGTCTCTACCTCTTGGCTCAAACATGGCTCAAACTTCAGACCTAACCTTTAGGAAAACACATTCTTCTCCAAAACAAGGTGAAGACCATTATGTTAGGTAGATAAATGGTTCACCAATTCACTCCAGTTTTCCAGCCAGCCAGTCTTCACTGAGAAGGGGGAAAGAACCTATGAGTAAGCTTATACTCTACCTTTGCTTAACTATCGCTTTGTTGAATAAAGCACAATTGGTTGGTTCACACAAACTGCTCAGCCATAAAATAATTAAGAAACTATAGCGGCTAGATCAGGGATATCAAACTCAAGCCCTAAGGGCCTGGTCTACCCAATGCGAAGAGGAAAGCGTAGCTTCTGCCCAGTCTACCCAGTGCAAAGAGAAAAGAACGGCCCAGCGTAGCTTCGGCCCGGTCTAACCAGAGTGAGCAGGAAACATGCCAGCAGTTTGGGGAGTGGTGTGAAGCTGGCC